CTGGTGTCTCTTCTTGTAAGAGCATTAATCCTGGCTTAGTGACTCAGCCTGTAATCCCACCACTTTGGGTGGCCGAGTCAAGTGGATTGCCTGAGCCCACGGGTTCGAGACCAGCCCGGGCAAATTGGCAAGACCTCGTCTCTACAATAAATAAAAAATTAGCCCAGTGTGATAGTGTGCACCTGTAGCTCTGGCTACTTGGAAGGCTGAGGCAGAAGGATTGCCAGGGTCCAGCAGGTCGACACTGGGGTGGCCGTGAGCGTGCCATTGTACTCCAGTCTGGGCCACGGGGTGAGACTCCAACTAAAAAAAAAAAAAAAAGAAAAAGAGTATTAATCCTATCATGAGGGTCTCACCCTTATGACTTCATCTAACCCTAAGTACTTCCCCAAGTCTCCATCTCCACATATGATTATACTGAGGGTCAGGACTTCAACATTTGAAATTGAGGGAATACCAACATTCGGTTCATAACAGATGTCAATTAATATCTAGTTGATTAATGGAGCTGTTGAATTTGATTATATCCTTACTGATTTTCTGCCTGCTAGATCTGTCAGTTTTTGATAGACAGGTGTCAATGTTTTATCTCTGATGATAGATTCCTGTTTCTCCTTTGCCACATGTATTTTCATCTCTGTTAGGCATATGCTCATCAAAGAATGTTATATCTTCTTAAAGTATTGACGCTTTTATCATTATGTCTACCCCACTTAATCCCTAATAACTTTCCTTGCTCTGAAGTCTGCTCTATCTGAAGTTAATATCGCTACTTTTGCCTCCTTTTGATTAGTATCAACCTGGATGTTTTTCTCCACTCTTTTACTTTTGATCTTTATATTTGAAGTGGGTTTCTTGCAGACAGATTCTAGTTGGGTTTCTTTTTTTGTTTTTGTTTTTGTTTTTATTCCATTTTGACAATCTCAATCACTTCACTGATGGAGCTAAGAAGAGTTGCTGATTTTTCAGTTCGTTCAGCTTTTTACTTGTTAGGATGGAATGGCAACTTCTTCTTTTTTTTGAGTTGGAGTCTCACTCTGTTGCCCAGACTGGAGTGTAGTGGCATGCTCCTGGCCACCACAGCCTCGACCTGCTGGGCTCAGGCAATCCTTCCACCTCAGCCTTCCAAGTGGCCGGAACTACAGGCGCGCGCTACCACACCCAGCTAATTTTTCTGATTTATTGTAGAGACGAGGTCTCACCAAGTTGCCAGGTGGGTCTCGAACCCACAGGTTCAGGCAATCCACTCGCCTCAGCCTCCCAAAGTGCTGGGATTACAGGGTGAGCCACTGAGCCCAGCCTAGAATGGCAACTTCTAAGCTCCTTACATGCTGGACCAGAAACTGGAAATCTTCAGCTCTCTTTCTTTTTCCTCCTTAATATATAATTTTATTCCTAATAGTAGAAGTCATGCTCTTTGTAGAAAACTTGAAAAACATGAATAAGAAAATAAGCCTACAATTGACAGACAACTATTGTCAACTTTTTGATATTTTCCATTTCCATCTTTTTCCCTCTGTGTATTATACGAGAGGGGACTCAAAACACCTGGCATTTATTCATTAAAAATTGTATATGTATTCATACATGCTTAAACTTCAGTCACCTTCAAAGTACTCTCCATTTGATGCAATCCACCTATCGAAATGCTTTTTCCGCTGCTCAAAACAGTTTTGAACTCGTCAATTTTCATGCCTTTTAGTGCTTCTGCCTTTTTTTGTTTCACCTCTTGCACATCAGCAAAATGTTTCCCTTCGAGGACTTTTTAAATCCAAAGCAACAACAAAAACAAATCGCTCAGGGCAAGATCCAGTGACTAGGGAGAGTGGGGCATGGAGGTCCTGCCATTTCTGGTCAAAAACTGCTGAACACTCAGTGCGGGGCGGGCAGGTGCACTCGTCAATCACCCATCTTGAAATGGGCAAATGTGCAGAAAGAATCTCCAAAAATAATTCACTGAAGCCCAGTGCAGCCTCTCACAACAATGCTAGCTGGGGCACTGAAACCATGGGTTCCTAGAACACTTACCTAGTGGGGGAAGCCTGTACCACAAGGATCCTATCCTCCAAACGATAGTTCTGGGGTTGTTGGGATCTTCCTTTGTATGGCATCAGTGTCTTTCCATATTATTTACCAGTGGATCAGTTTCTCTTGCTGCTTCTCAGAGGCAGAATTGGGACCTGCTGGCATCACAAGGTGCTTAAGTGCTGGGGAGGGAAGGAAGGGGTTTCATCATTTACCTGTCCCCATTTCAATCACAAAAAGACAGCACACTGTAATATTAAGTAAAGAGACATATTTGCAAGTCAGAGTGTGGGAGAATGAGGCTTTCCAGGAAGGGTAATGCTGAGGCTGTGGTTGGAGTCCCCTTGTGTCCTGGGGGCTCATTTCTGAAGCAGCGGAAGCCTTGGAACCTGTGGGAGCCACGGGCCTCTGTAGTTTTTCAGGTGTAAGCCCACGGGTGCCCACAGCTTGTGGTTTCCCAAGGTCCCCAAACAGCTCAGTCACCCCAGATGGGGCCAGCAGGAAAGGGAATAAGTCAGGCTTGTTGAATCTGAGGCCAGAGAGGTCTCTCATCATTAGCAATATCAGGTGTCAGCTACTGAGGATTTATTAAAATAGGGTTCAAGTTTTTTTTGAAACTCTAAATTTTTGTTCAAAAGAGGGTGGAGGCTGGGCGCAATGGCTCACGCCTATAATCCCAGTACTTTGGGAGGCTGAAGTGGGAGGATCGCTTGAGCCCAGGTGTTTGAGATCAGCCTGGGCAACATAGCGAGATCTTGTCTCTACACAAAATAAAATAAAATGAAAACGAGCTGGGCATGGTGGCACGCACCTGTAGTCCCAACTACTTGGGAGGATGACTTGAGCCCAGGGGGTTGAAGCACTCCAGCCTGGAAAACAGAATGAGACTCTGTCTCTAGAAATAAGGGGGTGGGTGGGGTCTACAGGAATACAATTTAAATTATATTTATATTATACCTATCCATGTCATCTCATACATAGACCCCAGTTGCCTTGGTGGGGAAGGGAACATGGCATGTCACAATCAGTCTCTCCAAGGCCTCTGCCAGGAAGTAACACACTTCCACTCACTTTCCATAGGCCACAGCCAGTCCTGTGGGCCTTCCTGTCTTTAGCAGGTGCTCTGTGGCCACGACATGTGCCCAGGGGGTGTGCCACATACCAGTGAGCAACCCTGGTGAGGACAACACTTGGCAAACAGGTCAGGCTGTAACCAGTCATCTGTGACAAAAGTATAAAAATAATGACTAGAAGGGAAAAAAATAGTCGCTCTCTGGGTAAGAAGCTTAGGGATGAATGTTGTGGGTTTGAAATCAGACTCTTCCCTCTCATCTTTTTTGTTTTTGTTTTTGTTTTTGAGTTGGAGTCTCACTCTGCCACCCAGGTTAGAGGGCAGTGTCATGATCATGGCTTGCTTCAGCCTCGACCTCCTGGGCTCAAGTGATCCTCCCACCTCAGCCTTCTGACTAGTTGGGACTACAGGTACACACCACCACACCCGGTGAATTTTTAAATTTTTTTGTAGAGACAGTGTCTCACTATGCTGCCTAGGCTGGTCTGGAACTCCTGGGCTCAAGTGATCCTCCTGCCTTGGCCTTCCAAAGTGCTGAGGTTACAGGCATGAGCCACTGTGCCTGGCCCTCTCCTTCATTGAAAAAACATTTTAATTGTAATTTATTTTTTAATTTTTATTTTTTGAGTTGGAGTCTCACTCTGTCGCCCAGACTGGAGTGCAGTGGCCGCTTCCGGCCACCGCAGCCTCGACCTGCTGGGCTCCAGCGATCATTCCGCCTCAGCCTTCCAAGCAGCTGGAACTACAGGCGTGCGCTACCATGCCCAGCTAATTTTTGATTTATTGTAGAGATGAGGTCTCGCCTGCCCAGGTGGGTCTCGAACCCGCAGGCTCAGGCAATCCACTCACCTCAGCCTCCCAAAGGCGCGGGATTACAGGCTGAGCCACCGAGCCCGGCTTAATTGTAATTTTTTAGAGACAGGATCTTGCTCTGTCACCCAGGCTGGAGTGCAGTGGCACAATTATAGCTCTCAGCAGCCTTGAACTCCTAGGTTCAAGTGATCCTCCCACCTCAGCTTCCCAAGTAGCTGGGACTACAGGTGCATACCACCACACCCGGCTAATAAATTTTGTCTGTAAAGACAAGGTCTAGCTATGTTGCCTAGGCTGGTCTGGAACTCCTGGCTTCAAGCGATCCTCCCACTCCAGTGTCCCAAAGCACTGAGATTACAGGTGTGAGCCATTGTGCCTGGCTCCTCTCCCTCATGTTTTATTCCTGCTCTGCATCTCCTCAAAGTCCATGGCGATCTCTCCTCATGGGTAGCCTCACTCCCTGGTGGGGTTCCCTTATCCTTGGGAATAGAGCCCCCAGGGGAAAACAGCTGTGTGGTCTGGAGCTGGAAGCTGAGAAAGAAAGCAGCTGTGGAAGTCATGTCTTCCCATGGTGCACAACAGGGAGAGACAAGGCATTGTCACAGCAGTGCATCAAGCCCACCCTCACCTGGTGGAGTATGCCCGATGCCACCTGCCACAGAACTCCAGGAAACAGGGGCGCTGGGGCATGTACTTGCTGGGGAGCACTCAACCTTGCCAACATTCCTGAAGGGACTGGTCTCTCCCCAGGGCCTGTAGTCTGGGAATGGTGTTTCCTTGCCACTCCTGAGACACCACCAGAGGTCTTTCACAGAAATATACATGCACTGCTCTTCCCTCCAGCTTGGGGGCCCAACATCTAGAACTACAGTCACATCTGCCCCTGCCTCCAGTGGGCTGAGTCACCACAGATGCTGGGTTTGTTGAGACTCTGTCAGTGGCCAGGCCAGCTCTTTGGGGTCTACTCCGAGCCTGGTCCAGCACACCCAGGCTGCACTCAATCCCCGAGGGTCCCCCCGGGTCAAAGTGGGGTCCCGATCACAGGGCCCTTTGCTGCCCAAGACTCTCCTCTTCCTCTCTGGTCTTTCAGGAGCTTGAGCGCCTTAACCAGGTGCTGGAGGCCGAGAAGCAGCAGTTCGAGGAGGTGGTGCAGGAGCTGAGAACGGAGCAGGAGCAGATCAAGAGGTGTGGTGCCCGGGAGGGGTGCAGGGGCAGCAACCTAGGGCACGGCATGCAGGACCCATCTTCCCGGTTCATCCCAGAGTGGCCTCCACCCAGAGACGTGACCTGGTGACTTGGTTTGGGTATCTCTTCCTGATGCTGCAGGCCCCGGGTGTGCCCAGGAGAACCTGTGGACCCCCTCTACCCCCCAACAGGGTCATTTCCACCCACTGGAGCTCAATGCATGGACAAGTGCAGACAGGGCCCTCCCGTCTCCAGGAATCCCCTGGCGCAGGGCTAGACCAAGAGACGGGAGGAGCTGTGGGCTGAGACCCCAGCACTCTCTTTCCTACATGTCCTCCGCATTTTGGTGAATGACACCCTGTGGAACCTTTAGTCCCAAGTATTGTCTGTAACCTAGTTGCCCTTTATAATCATCTACTGAGTCAGAATCTTTAGAAGGTAGGGCCCAGTAGTCTGTATTTTTACAAAAGCTCCCCAGGTGAGTCTGATGCAGCCTGCCTGGGAATTTGAAGACTGCTGCCCTGGGCAGGGGTGATGGCGGTGGTCCTCCTCCTCCTCATCGTCATCGCCACTGCTCATCAGTGATGGCTCAGAAAAATGTTTCTTCTACCAACTATATAAAGGGGTGCTGATTAAATCTGTGTTTGGGGGAGGCAGAAACATACCAAGTCAATAGCCAAGCACCAGCTCAACTTCTGGAACTGTGCCAGACACTGGGATGGAAGGAAGTACCCTCCCTTGAAGACCTCCCCCAGGAGACATCAGGGCCATAGTGTGTCCCAGGCACCAGGAGGTGCCGTGCAGACCTCCTGTGTTGCAGGAATTCAGACCTGGGTGTGCTGGGTGGGCTCCAGCAGAGGGTGGATTGAGCTGGGCCCTGAGAGGCAAGTGGGATTGGGAACGTCGGGCAGAAGGGGCAGACCTTCCAAGTGGATATGGAGCAGCCAACGTAATAGCCTGCAGCAGCCAAGGTTAGTGAGGGAGGTGGTGGGGAGCTGGGTGCCCAGCGGGGGCCTTAGCTGTACCTATGAGTCCCAGCAGGTGCTGTCCAAGGAGGATGAGGGTGAGTGAGAGTCCCAGAAGGTGCTGTCCAGGGATGAGAAGGGTGAGCACGGGTCCTGGCACATGCTGTCCAGGGAGGATGAGGGTGAGTGAAGGTCCCGGCAGGTGCTGTCCAGGGAGGAGAGGGGCAAGCACAGGTCCCAGCACGTGCTGTCCAGGGAGGACGAGGGTGAGCATGCATCCAGCAGGTGCTGTCCAGGGAGGATGGGGGTGAGCCTGGAACCCATTTGCGTCTTCCCTCTGCCTGCAGGGTGGCCCCAGCTTTATCCTGTCTGACAGGTGCATATGAACCTGTGGCGAGTGATCCCGACCCCACTGGGCTGGGATCTCCTTTCAGCCCCAGGTCTCTACAGCTGCTGTTGGGGCCCAGCAGTGCAGAGGGGCGGTCATCCCAGAACCCTTCTGAGACCTAGCCGGAGGTGACACAGAAACCCTTCTGTGTGCAGAGGAGGGTGGGCAGGGTGGGCCCTCCTACCCAGACCTCTGTTCCCTAGGGAACTGGAGCTAACTGCAAGGTGCCTCAAGGGTGTGGAACAAGAGAAGAAAGAACTGAGGCACCTTACAGAGTCCTTGCAGCAGACACTGGAGGTGAGGGGCCCAGGGGGCTGGGTGGTGGGACCACGTGATATTGACTTTTCCAATGGTGTTTCCCAGGGGGTTCTTTGCAGGGGAAATGACACAAAGGGTGCTGACTTAAAGGGTCTCTTTGGGCTGGGTGCAGTGGCTCACACCTGTAATCACAGCACTTGGGGAGGTCGAGGTGGAAAGATCACTTGAGGCCAGGAGTTCAGAAATTTGAGACCAGCCTGAACAACATAGCAAAACCTCATCTCTATAAAAATGAAGGACCGGGCATGGTGGCTTAAGTCTATAATCCCAGCACTTTGGGAGACCGAGGTGAGAGGATTTTCTGAGCCCATGGGTTCAAGAACAGCCTGGGGAACTTGGCGAGACATCATCTCTACAATAAGAAAAAAATTAGCCAGGCGTGGTAGCGTGCACCTGTAGTTCCAGCTTCTTGGAAGGCTGAGGCAGAAGGATCACCTGAGCCCAGCAGGTTGACGCTGGGGTGGCCGTGAGTGTGCCACCAAACACTCCAGCCTGGGTGGTGGAATGAGACTCCGACTCAAAAAAATAAAAAGAAGGATGTCTTCTCTGGATTGCTGGGAACTCTAGCTGATGCATGAGGCCCAATGCAGGACGTGGTAGTCAGACCCAGAAAGACAAATGCTGTGCCCTTGCTGTGACCTTGGACCCAGGAAATTCACCTTCTTAGGCACTTCTATTTTTATACCAGATGGAGGATCAATGAGGGTGGGCAAGGGAGCTGCCCACCACTTCCTTCTTGCGGCTCATTCTCTCAGCTGCTCTTGATGACAGTGAGCATTAGGGAAACCAATTGCCAGGCCACCACCATCTGATACCACATGGGGGGAGGGGGACACATGTCAAGGACAAAGTGCACCTCCTTAGTGCCAGCTCTGGCCCAGTCGCTCCCTTCCCACCCCTTCCTTTGCTACTGTCCACATCTGAACAAAGACACACAACTCCTGCCTAAACCACCTAACGCAGGTGCCCAAGGAGCCAACTCCTCCACCCTCCATACCTTTGCCCACACTGTTCCTCCTACAGTGTGGCCTTTCCACCTCCTCTCTGCCTGGAGAACTCCTACTCATCCTTCTAAGACTCATCTCATATCTCCTTAGTCAAGTCTCCCTGACTCTTCCGGGCAGGGATTTGCTCTGAGCTCTGTGCTTCCATGAGATTTTGTGCAACTGTTGTGGCACTTGACACTCTAGGTGTGCTCTTCAGACTGTGAACCTCACAGGCTGTGTCTGCATGGTCTTTCTAAGCCCAGCCCTGGAGTGGGCCCAGCACATGGAGCGTGACCCACATGTGGACTGAGCCGAGAAGCTGCCCTCAAGGCTGCAGGGTTTCTTGTCTCCCTTGACTGACCAGAGCCTGCCTGGGGTCTTGGTTCGTGTCTCTCTCCCTGGTCACACCGGGGCGGTGGTTCCCCCGGACACCCTCAACGCGTTTCTGTGTAGTGCAGAATCGCGGTGTGAGAAGGAGAAACACCTAGATCTGCCCTTGGGCTGTTGGGTGCTCTTCATGGAAGCTTAGTACGTCTCCTCACTGTCCCCCGGAAGAACAAGGACCCAGGCAGTCACGGCAACCCTGTGCCTTGGGACCCAGGAGTGGGTCCCTCCTCTACCAGGAGCCATGTTTGGCTCCTTTCTGACCCCTCGAGGGAGAAATCACCTCACTTTGTTGTGAGGAGAGCTCGGCCCTCTGCCCCAGGGAGGAGAATGAAGACATTCTGGCTGTCAAGGAGGACGGAGAGCAGAGGGGGCCCCGCCCTGGGGTTGCCGGGCAGGTGAGGACCGCCATGCTGGAGAACCCGAATGGGGCTTTCTCGTCTCCTTCCCTCCCTCCGTGCCAGGAGCTCTCCTTAGAGAAGAAGAAGACACTGGAGCTGCTGGAGGAGAATGAGAAGCAGCTGCAGACCCCGGCCGACCCGAGAGAGCAGCCTCCTCCCCACGGGGGACTTCACAGCAATCTGAGGCACATCGAGGAGAAGATGCAGCAGCTGCTGGAGGAGAAGCTGCTGGCGGAGAGGCGGTGAGGGCAGGACGCGAGGCCACGCCGGCGCCTTCCTCTAGCTGGGCGGCCAGACCCTTGGGTCCTAGTTGGCACTGACCCCATGGGCCCCTCACTGCCTCTCGCCTAGCACTCAGTTTCCCCACCAGGCAAACAGGAAGGGAAGCGCCTGAGCTGACTTGAGAACCATCTCTTGTAGCGGCAGGAACAGGCGTCGTCCACAGGTCCTTGCCACTGCTTCAGCCCCCTTCCCTACAGGGAAATTGAGTCTCAGAGGGGTTCTGTGACTTTTCTGTTCTTTCTTTGAGTCGAGGGCTCACTCTCACCCAGGCTGAAGTGCAGCGGCTCAGGAGATCCTCCCTCCTCAGTCTCTCAAGTAGCTGGAACTACAGGCACACACCACCACGCCTGGCTCACTTTTTGATTTTTTTTGTAGAGACAAGGTCTTGCTGTGTGGCCTAGGCTGGTCTTGAACTCCTGGGCTCAAGCAGTCCTCCCAAGGTGCTGGGATTACAGGTGTGAGTCACCACACCCGGCCTGGCTTTGTGACTTTTCTAAGATCCCAGAATGAGCCAGCCCTGGACCCAAGAGTCCAGTCTTCTCACCCTAAGCCTCAGGCTCCCACCACAGCCATGCTGCCGCTCCGACCCCCTGGGTGGGGCTTGTGAAGCCTGGGGTTGGGCTTCTCTAACCGGACCTCTGAGAGGAAAGGCCCTCCCCCTGGCAGCCTGTGGGCGAGTGGGCCTCGAGCCAGGGCCTCTTCCATCCTGCAGCATGAAGGAAAATGAGGAACGCTCACGGGCCCTGGAGGAGGAGCGTGAGTTCTACTCCAGCCAGTCCCAGGCGCTACAGAACTCACTGCAGGAGCTGACAGCCGAGAAGCAGCAGGCAGAGCAGGAGCTCAAGGTGTGCCCTCCCCTCGCCCGGAGACCCTGCAGCCCAGCTTGAACAAGCCTGACCAGTTGGCCAAGTACAGGGTGGACCCACCACGAGGGGACACAGCCTGTCTCTGCTCCACTGGACGCCTGCTGGGTGTGGGGGCCAGGCCAGGCTGTCTGGTGTGGGGGCCAGGCCCAGAGGCAGGATGTAATGACTCTGTGGAGCCAGGGGTGACAGGGGAGGGCTTCTGGGGGAAGGTGGCAACTGCCCTCCACGCCCCTCTCCCCTCGCCCTCAGGCTGAGGTGAAGGTCCGCATGGACCTGGAGCGGCGGCTGCGGGAGGCCGAAGGGGCCTTGCGGAGCCTGGAGCAGGGGCTCAACTCCAAGGTGCGAAATAAGGAGAAGGAGGAGAGGATGAGGGCAGACGTGAGCCACCTGAAGAGTAAGCCCTGCCCTCTGCGTCCTCCCACCTTAGCACCTAGCCCCAAACTGGGCCCTGTCGATCCTGGAGAAGGGCCTAGTGGTCCTGACGTGCTCTGTGGACCGGATGGGGCTCTTTCCCAGAAGCCTGCCTGCAGGCATCTTGGCACTGCTCCCTCTGGGGAGGGCCTGGCAGGGAGAGTCTGGGGTTTCCTCCTCTTCTCCAAAGCTCAGAGCTCTGTTCACTCACACACACACACACACACACACCTGCCCTGGGACGGCCGCAGCCTGTGCTGGAGGGGTGCAGGAGCCCTGGGAGGTGGCTTTGAGTCTCAGGGGAGGGGCCCACATTCTCCACATCAAGCTCTCGGGGATCCCTGGGGCTGGTGGGTGGGGGACCAGTGGGGCGAGGGGTGGAGGGGGCCCGGGTGGGTGGCAGGAGAGTGGGGAGCTGTCTACCTGCCACCCTGCCCCGCAGGGTTCTTTGAGGAGTGCATCCGTAATGCCGAACTGGAGGCCAAGATGCCTGTGATCATGAAGAACTCTGTGTACATCCACAAGGCGGCCACACGCCGCATCAAGAGCTGCCGCTTCCACCGGCGCCGCTCCAGCACCTCCTGGAGCGACAGTGCGTGTGGCCGTGCCTGGGTGGGCAGGATGACTGTGGGCCGTGGGGGTGGTGGGCGGGCCAGAAGGGGCCAGAGTGGGGTGACAAGCCTTGACCCAACTCGGGTCAGGCCTTGTGGCCTCCGGCCTGGCTCTAGGGAGCTGAGTGACATCTCAGGTGTAGCCCGAGGAGGGCAGGGGCCGGGAGGGGCTCAGCTCACTGGGCGGGGTGGGGTGGGGCAGGCCACGCCCTGGCATGGAGGGCGTTCATGGCTGGCTGGCCCTGTGTCCCCAGTGAAGCCGTCCCAGTCCTTCATGAACTCCCAGCTGGAAGCCAACAACCTGGAGGAACTGAAGGAGGTGGCCAGGCGGCTGAGCAGGGACCAGCGCTTCCGCGAGTCCATCTACCACATCATGGCCACCCAGCCCGGAGCCCCTGCCGCCCTCTCCCGGGGTGGGAAGTGAGGGGTGCTCTGCCCCTGTCCCCCAGTCTCTCCTCCGCGGCAGGAGGGGATGGGCAGCAGAGGGAGGACTGCTCCACCAGCTCCAGCCTCGCCCTCAGAGGTCAGGGATGCCACCTCCTTTGCCTCATGCCACCCATCCCCTCGGGTCTACACCAGGTCCGTGAAGGCCCACCTGGGTGCCGACTGGCTGTCGCGGGAAGGGGAGGAGGGGCCTGGTTGCACATGGAGATTTGTGCTAGGAGGGGATGGGGAGGGGCTGTCCACCCCATGGGTCCCGCAGGGCCTGCCCCGCTGGGTAAGACCGCAGCCCATCTGGTGCCCAGCGGATTTCCCTGTGGCTGTGTTGCCCTGCCCTGTCCTCATGCACAGAGGCCTCACCTCCCCGCCTGGATGCCCCCTTCCCGAGGCTCCCCAACCCTCTCGCTGCTCCTGACACTCAGCGAAACATCCCTCCACCGAGGACCCTCCCTTACATGTCATGGGTCGAGAATCAAGGGATTTCGGACAGCAGCTTCTGGGCTCACTGTGCCACCCCTCCTGGCCACGGGGGCCCGCCGACTCTGCTCCTCAGGCGAGCTCATCCACACAGCCTCCATACCCACAAGGTGCTGCAAAACCCCCGCGTCCCTCCTGTGCCTGCACTTCAGACCTAGGCCCTGGAGGGAGAGGGGGCCGGCAGTGACCTGGGGCCATGTTCCAGAGGACCCAGCAGGCTCAGAAGTGGGGTCTCCAGCCTTACTACTCCTGGGAAGCAGGATCCTTGCCGGCCGAGAGATCCCAGCTGCTCCTGGGCTGGTCACGCCATATTTTCCTTCCCCTGCAGAGGCTTCACCAGGGAGGTGATGTGGCTGTGAACCCTGGCAGATGGGAGCCCAGGCCTGGGATGAGGTCGGGAGCCATTGGGTGGCTCAGTGTTATTAGGGTTGAAGCTGGAACTCCAACCTGCAGCTTCTGTGGTTGACTGCGGCCCTTCAGGCAGCAGAGGGCGGCAGGCCATGTCCCTCACCCACAGACACACAGTCTGCCCTGTGCATCTCCCTGTAGGCCCTCCAAGTCTGTCGTCCTCTCCAGAAAAGGCAGCGGGGTACTCTGAGACCCTAGTGGTATTTAAGCTGCTGACTCTCCTCTGGGAAAACCAAGAAGTTCTGAGAGATACACAGGACTGTAGGCGAGTCCCAGCAGAAGGGGCAGGTGCCGGGCAACCACCAAGTCTGTTCTGTGGGGAGAGGAGCATTGCTGCCATGAAGAACACGGGCGTCTCTGCTACTAGGCCAGTCAAGGACAGGCCTGGCTGTCCTGTTCTGGACTCAGGGCTGCCTGTTGACCCAGTCTCCATGGTCCCTTCCAGGGGTGGGTGGACTTCGATGGCATCATCTAGTCTCTGCAGAATCCAGCTGGGGCCAGGGGAAGACACTTCACAATGTAGAGAGGGTCGAGTCTAGATGCCAAAACTTTAAACATGTATACACCTGAACACACCTGCAACCTGTTTATCTGACACGTAGGATGAACTTTGAAATGAGGAGGAAGAGTTATAAAACCGAGATATCTTTTAAAAGAATTAAATTAATGATGACTTGCTCTTGGAGAAAGGTCTTCCGGAAATTTCCAAATGCATTTGCCTTTCCTGGGTAAGCTATTAACCAGAAAGGAATGTGCTTGTCTTAGTTTTGTGCTGCTACAACAGAACACCTGAGACTGGGTGATTTATAAAGAACAAATGCATTGGCTCGCAGATTTGGAGACTGGAAAGCCCAAGGTTAAGATGCTGGCATCTGTCAAGGACTTTCTTGCTGCCACATCCCACAGTGGAAGGACAAGAGAGGGCTAGAGAGAGCAAGGGGGCCAAACTAACCCTTTTGTAATAAACCCACTCCCTCCTTAATGACGATAATCCATTCATGAGGGCAGAGCCCTCACTGCCTAATCACCTCTTCATACTATTACAATGGCAATTAAATTTCCTTTTTAATCTTGCAAACTGGCCAGGCATGATAGCACACGCCTATAATCCCAGCACTTTAGGAGGCCAAGGCGGGAGGATCACTTGAAGCCATGAGTTTGAGACCAGCCTGGACAACATAGCGAGACCTTTTCTCTACAAAAACTGAAAAAAATTAACTGGGTATGGTGGCGCACACCTGCAGTCCCAGTTACTCAGAAGACTGAGGTGGAAGGAATGCCTGAGGCCAGGAGGTTGAGGCTGCAGTGAGCCATAATCATGCCCCTGTGCTCCAGCCTGAGCAACAGAGTAAGACCCTGACACACACACACACACACACACTCTCTCTCTCTCTCTCTCTCTCTCTCTCTCTCTCTGTCTCTCTCTCTTTCTATCTCTCTTTCTCTCTCTCTCTCTGTCTCTCTCTCTTTCTCTCTCTCTCTCTCTGTCTCTTTCTCTCTGTGTGTCTCTCTCTCTCTCTCTCTCACACACACACACACACACACACACACACATACTCCTGCAACCTACTGGGCAGTTAAACTTCCACATGAGTTTGGGGAGGGACCAACATTCAGCCCCAGCAGTGCTTTCCAGTACCCTGGCCAGTCCCTAGATCCCCCCGTTCTCACCCTATGTTTTCCATGCCTTCGGTGAGCCTGGATTATCTCTGGCCAACCGAATAATCCATCTGTTCTGATTTGTTAAAAGCGTACTAAGTAACAGACACCGCAGATGGAAAAGGAGCAGCATCTCTACATGAAAATATGTAGGGGCAGGAATTGCTTAGTAGAAATGTATTAGCTGGATGTTGGTGGTGCATGCCTGGAGTCCCAGCTACTCAGGAGGCTGAGGTAGAAGGATTGCCTGAGTCCAGCAGGTCAAGGCTGCAGTGAACTGTGATCATGCCACTGCACTCCAGCCTGGATGACAGAGCGAGACCCTGACTCAAAACAAAACCAAACCCCCAAAATCCTCTTATTCTTTGGCCAATTAAATGCCTTTTCTGCAGTGTCTCTAAGTGCATAGTGTGGTTATTGCTAGAGAAATGTTGCCCCCTGCAGGAATGATAGAATCGCAGCTGGCAGGGGCACATCTAACACACACCCCTGCACACATTTCTCTGCCCATGAGGATGTGCTTTGCCCCTGCTGCTGTGCCCCTGTGAGTGGCTTCTTAATAATTAACTGAGAAATCCGTCCTCCTGCCCCGAGGTCCTGGTTGTCCCCGTGTGGCAAAGACTGTCAGCTGCACTTTCTTCTGATTTCAGCACAGACGCAAGGGATAGGGCTGGCTGTGCTGGCGGTGATTGGCTCAGGGAGACCAAGGAGACCTAGATGTATGGCATGCCAGTATCCCTGCCAGGGACGGGCCACACTACCTGCTCTGCTGAGTGGCTGATGCTTTTGTTTAGTAATCATATAAGGGGGAGCCAGAGATACGTGAGAACGGCGATGACTCGACTCTCCTCCCATCGAGCTAGAGTGCTTTTCCCCCAGCGACACTTTTTTTTTTTTTTGAATCAAGATCTCATGCTGTCTCCCAGGCTGGAGTGCACTGGCACTCTCAGCCAGTGCAGCCTTAACCTTCTGGGCTCAGGAGATCCTTCTGCCTCAGCCTCTGGAGTAGCTGGGACTACAGGTGCGTGCCACCACACCCTGCTAATTTTTCTAATTTTATTGTAGAGACAAGGTCTTGCTATGTTGTCCAGGCTGGTCTTGAACTCCTGGGCTCAGGCAATCTTCTTGACTTGGCCTTCCAAAGTGCTGGGATTATAGATGTGAGCCTCTACACCTGGCCCCAGTGATACATTGATGGATGGGGCAAGAAATTTGTGAGACATGGCTTCTGACCTCCCCACCTCTGGCCACACAAAGGGTGCCTGGTCTCTCCTCACCCTGGGGAGGATGTAGTTCTCACCCAAACCCATCCCAATCCCATCCAGCTTAGCATGACGTGGGCAGCCTGTGCTTGGAGCCCTCAATGAATGATCAGACTGGAAAAAAAAGTTTGCTCGAGTCTCAGAGAGCCAGCCCAGAGGGCGTCAGACTTGATCTAACAGGAAAGTGACTAAATATCCCTGGAGAAGACAGCTGCCCCAGAGCCTTCAGATAAAGTCCAGCTGCCCTCAGGAGCCTTGTGCTTCTGCGATCAGCCGTGATGAAGCTTCTTACCCCCCAGCCTCTGCAGGGTCTCCCCCAAATCAGAAACCCTGTAGCTTTGACTCCTAGAGGAAAAACCCGCTTGTGTCCTTTGCAAGGCTCTGGGAGAGGATTCAGTAGTTGTTTTTGCCTCTTGGGAAAGATCCACTCCCAGACACCCAGTGCAACTGAGAAAAGCGGGTCACTCCAACTTCCATAGGGGGAGATGTCAGCCTTCCAGGTTCCACCCCCCTGACTCTATACACCATACTGCCCTTCCTTAGACTCAGGCTTCCACTCAAGGCCACTCAGACCCAGAGGTGAGCGTTACCACTTCATCTGCGGGGTTTAAAGTATTCAGGAGAGGACTGGGTGCAATGGCTCACACCTGTAGTTCCAGCACTCTCCAAGGTGAGAGGATTGCCTGAGCCCATGAGTTTGAGACCAGCCTGGACAACATAGCGAGACCTCACCTCTACAAAACATGAAAAAATTAGCTGGGCTCGGGGGTGCATGCCTATAGTCCCAGCTACTAGGGAGGCTGAGGTGGGAGGATTGCTTGAACCCAGGAGGTCAAGGCTGCAGTGATCTGTGCTCATGCCACTGCACTCCAGCCTAGGCAACAAAGTGAGAACCCAACTCAAAAAATAACAATAATAATAAAATAAATAATAAAAATAAAGTATTCAGGGGAAGTTAGGGAAACACCCCCAGCCAGGAATCCTGGGGTGAGGGGTCTTAATAAACGAAACCTCCTTGTGGCCACCTCTAGCTGCTGCCGTAACCAAGTTTTTAAGTACGGTCTAGCACTCTGTGTCTCTCTAGCTTGGTCTGTGGGTGACACTTGGCGATAGGGCAGGGCCACTAAAGTGAGTCAGGGCTGCGGCATCAGGGCTCGGGGAGACCACGGGCAGCAGCAAGCTTGCTGTGTCTGGGGCTCCTTGTGCCCGG